TTTAAGTTCACAAGACAAAAATTAGTTATTTAATTAAAAAAAAGTTTTTTTAAACAAAATAATTTGTTTTTTAAAAAATAAATCATTACAATTCCAAAAGTTTTGATTACAATTTTATTTTACTTAACTGAGGTTAGTTTTTTTTTTTTTCCATTGAATAATTGGGAAACAAATTTAACTTCATACTCTGCGAACCAGACCCTAAACTTAAAGTCTGGTTTGAGTTTTTCCCCCTTCATTAATGACATACATTATATCTATCATGGTAATTCAGGGTGTGTTATTTTTAATTCTAAATGAATATCCTTGTTGGATTATTATTTAAGTGCTATTCTCTTTCAAGACATGTTTACATAAAACTAGAATCAATGTTTTGCAGCAAAGGAAATTAGAAAACAAATATCCATTATGGAGTTGATAGGTTTTGGAAGAGAGATGTGCCCCTATTGCATAAGCGATACTGAAGAATGACTGCTATCATTAATGATACAGGGAAGAAGCTTTTTAGTTATTTTGCTTTGCTAGCAAAGTCGTTAGCTAGCAGCTAGCTAATAGCACAACATCAACAGCCTAATGTCTGAATGATAAAAATACTGAATCGATAGATAAGAACAGTTTTCCTCACCTGTCTCCTCCCGCTCAGTAGTTCTTCAGAGTAAGCCAGACGCAGAGGCCTGTCTGTGTCTGTTGTATTTCATTATCTTTCTGCTTAAACCGCGACTCCGTGCTGAAGCAGAAACGATATTTCAACGGTTTCCGTCATCTGACAAGTAGCAAGTCTACTCCACTTTATTCCCCAAAAACGTTTTTTTTTTTTAATTCACCAAAAACTGTTCTGTAATCTGGAACATAGACATATGATCTGGAACGTTCGCTACGTTGAGCTCCAGTTAGCCGCCTTATCTCACTGCACGAGAGACAATTGCGTCATGCGTCACGGGCAAAAGGTCAAAGGTAACAAGGTGACCGGAAGGCTTATTATGTTGTACAAAAAAAATAAATAAATAAAAAATTGGACCAATAGGGCACTTGGGGACAAGGAGCAAAAGGGGCAGGTGCTCAAGTCCCTCTAGCCCCCGCCTCTGCACGTGCCTGCTGATAGTCAATTTTCAGATTCTGAGAGACTGTTTATGCTAATTGTTTTATACTAATCCAGTAACAGACACCATTTGTAAGAAGACATAAAATTAATTAATGTTAAAGTTCTCTTAATAGATAATATTAGGAAAAACACAATTAGCCCGTGACAATTCACTGTTTATTACAAATCTATATAATTCAGTCGAACAAATTAAATATATAAATTCAGAAGGAAAATGCTAAGTAATCATAACCTCATGTATTTACTGGCTATTTCTTTCCAATTGTGAATTCCATTAGCAGAGCCTCGATGGGCTGCTGGACAGGCTGTATTGTCCTGCAAATTATTTAAACACAATTCAAAGAACAAACTCAATCAAGAATCCAATGGCATGTAAAATGTTTATGTATGTAAATCCTATTTCTGGCCATATATTTATGGTAATGAAACACTGGAGCAGCATAGCAGCACTGGGAACTGAAGAGTGTGTAATTACACTAATGCTCCACTGACTAATAGGCCACAGGGGAAGAGGAGTCTGCCGGCTAGTGTTAGCTCACTTACTAATGCACACAATACACCAGCACTTCAGATGTGCTGGTGAGCCTCCGCTCTTTGTGTTCTGAGCGAAGGCTTTTCATCAGACGATACTTGAACGTATGGCCAGCTCAGGATGTTTAGGGTCAAAAGAGAAGACTGTTAGCAGACAGAATGAGAAATCTATGGAAAATAAACTGACATAAGACCATGTCAGGTAGTGAGTAGGAAAGCAAATAAACATAAAAGCGTCTCGTACTGATTCCTCTGACTGAGCCACAGGTCAGAAAGTTCACACCACTGAGATAGATTTATAAATGTCAAAATATCAGAGTCAGAGGTCACACATATCAGTGAAAGACTTTCCCTTCCCCTCCAACTTTGGAGGGTCTTTACTCGTAATGGTTAGGGTTGGGATTGTTTTGTAGAGGTAAAGTGATGGACTCGGTGAAGTCTGGGTACATTGATCCTGTTTCAGTTGAAAGTTTCTTCCTGTTAAAAGAGTCTTTGATCTCCAGTGATGCTCGCTGCTCAGACCTCAGAATGACAGACTGCAAAAATGTAAAGATCTTTGCTTTCCTTACTGATAACATTTTACTAGAGTGGCACCTTAATATTCTATAAATCCGATTACTAGGTAATGGTCAATAGCTCAATACACAACAGCTCTCATTTTTACAGTAAAACAATCCTGATCTGCTAGAGTTGGAAATTCCCCTCAGTCGTGTCTGAGGGGCTCCAAGCTGTCAGTTCTTAAAGCTGTGAGATGGTTCAATAACACTCAGTTTGACAGATATGGGAGAAATTTGGAGGTCAAGTTAATGTCCCGATTAATTTGTTGACTTCCAGAAACAACTTTTGTTTTACCACAGCTACTCCTCTTAGGACTGTTTCTATAGGAGAGTTTAACTACCGTAGGAATGGTTTAAGGGAATATAAAGATTAAACAGTGTCAAGATGTCATCCACATGAATGACAGAAACCTATGATTCTGAGCAGAACAACACCAAACCCTTAACTTATATTGTTTTCATAGTATTCTGGTGTCATGTCTTCCCCAGATCAGTGATGCACAACCAGCTGCTGAACAGATCCAGGGAAACTTATCTGATGAAATCATGTTCTTTGTTTGAATCAATGTGGATTTGACGTTCCTGTCACAGCTGTACATAAGAGGTGGATCATCTGTGGCTGGTTGGGACAATGTGCTTACCTTTCCTGAACACCAACCACTACTACGGTCCATTGTTTGAAGACAAGTAAGCATGGTTTCCTTTGGGGGAGAGGGAGAATTTGAGAATGCCAGCCTTCCCAGGCCAAGACAGGGGAGCTGGATCCATCCATCCATCCTACAACCTCATCCCAACTAGGGTAGTGAGGGGTGCTGGTGCCTATCTCTAGCAGTCAACTAGAGGTGGGGTCACCCTGGACAGGTCGCCGGTCCATCACAAGAGCCTTGGCAGCTTCGAAAAGTTATAGCTTAAAAACCATTTACTTGTGTTACAGCTCCTACAGCTTGGAGTCCTTTTGATAAAATACCAGAGAAAGTTCTGGAACAGATTCCTCTCCTGATTCGGGTCACGCTTCTTTTGAGACACAGAAACACAGCTGGCTGCTTAGAAAGTTCTGGACTGGAAACTAAAAGCTGCCAATTACTGAGAGAAAGGTAATGCTCTTTTGAAAGCAAAGTTATCAAGCTAACACGGTCTGGCTAATTGGCCTGCTAATATTAGCTTTCAGTGTTACTCCAAGCAGAAGATGATGCAGAATATTCTCTGCAAAGAAGCATCTACTTGTTTCTACTACTGTTCTTTCATATTGTAGAGCAGTCTTCAGTTCACTCTGTATATTTATTTAAGAATCTTTTTTAATGACCTGAAAACACTCTTAGACTGGTTGATTATTTAATTTGGGTAAGGTTTTACTTTGTTGTCATTGATGAAACAAATATGTTTTAGCTAAATTACTCTTCCTAATTTATTTGTGCGTAAAAATGTTTGTTAATAATGAACGTAGATGAAAATTAGCCTATGCTACAATCTCATACAGTGGACCAAATGGTGACGTTTCTGTTTGAACTATATATTGTCTCCTTCCAAATAAAGTTATATTTATAAATATTATTATTATTATTCTGCACCCTAACTCACTGCAGCCCCAGCAGGGATCTAGCTTACCTGGCAGGAGACGAACCCTCCAGTATATGCGGAGGCACCGCTCCTCCTTCCTGAAGCCACGCTGGCACTTGCAGGCCAGAAGTGACGGGTGTTTGGCCAACAGGGCGTCCTGTCTCTCCAGGCACTCAGATGCTTCTTGTTCCCCTAGCGGTGCAACTGACGCATCGACCGCGCACAGCTCCAAGCCTCGGTACAGCGCCTCACACTGTGGGTCAGTGGAGCACACACGGTGAGCTTCAACACAGTCGGTCACAGGAGCTAGGAAGGGGAATATCTGGGATGTGGACAGTATCACAACTGAAACAGAAAAAAAGGAAAAAATAACAATAGTAATTGAAAAATGGAGCAGTAAATATCAACAACAAGGCCTTGCAAAGATAGAGCCATCAAACTCACATTCAGTGTGCTGCTGTGTGACAAACAAACATGACATCTAACCTTTGCTAAATAGCCATAGTCATTGTTGGAAGATGGACATTGGAGGTCCTCTTTGCAGTTTGCCACACACCATGAAGTTGACACAACAAACATGGAAAAACTTGAGCTGCTCTAAATGGGACTTTTTAACCAACATGGAGGGGAAAACTCACAGTGCATCTCCATGGACAACCTGTCATCACTGTAAGATGTGATGTTGAACTTCAGAGGACAATCCTGGAAGGAAAACAGCTAGAGGCTTAAAACTGTCAATGATCAACTTCCAGAAGAGCAACAAGCCCAAACATGCAGGTCATGGATGCAGGGAGGCACTGACAGAAACATTTGAGCCGATATCGGTATCAGATATTATTCTTATAGTCAATAACTGATATTTACAGACATTATTCATATGTGACATTTCACTTTAACGCCTTAAAAAAACAACCACCCTGCTGACTTCACCACTGCTTCTCTGCTTCTGTTAAACTCCGACAATTCTTCGCTGCATCAATATCAAACTCTTAGAAATGGCTGTAAATTTACAGTGAAATTCCAGCAGTAACATACTGTTATTCCAAAATACAGTAGGATATTGTCAATTTGATGTCTTCTTCTGTTGTCACAATCAAGACTGACGACTGGCAGTAAACTACCGCAAAATAATTGTACAATACAGTTTTTTTCCTAAGCAAGACATTTTACTTGTATTTGCATCTTAGAGGACCAGCATTTAAAGACAATATTAAACGGAAAGAAAAAAATACTTTCCATAATAAATCTTTTAGGGAATGAATCGAAATCTACAGAGCATAATCAAAAGTGTTAGATTACCAGTGTTGGTGTTGTATGTTAAAAATACAATGTTAATTAAACATTCAAAGATAGTCAAATTCAAAGATAGGTTTGTCAGTTTCCCTAAAGAAATGGAGTTTGCTAAAGAGTTGCTCCCACAATCGCCACGTATCTGTGACGTCACGTGTTTGCCCTGGAGACAGCAGTATGGCATCTTGTCTGGAGCTTATTCATAACAAGGTAAGTTCCCCAAAGCTATTAAAACATGCTCTTTATGTTCTCTCTTTAATGTATTTATGTAATGTAATGGTGATGTACTGTCTCAATGTTTGTAACTCCCTGGCGGACATTATACTACAATATATGCTGCTTTTATACTGTTATGTATTCTGTATCTCAATAAAGATCTATTAAAAAAACAAACAAAAAAAACAAGGTAAGTTCCATGTTAAGACCATCATGTTTTTGATTTTGATTATTTTTTATGAATGCATTAACTTTCTGTTTGCGCAAGAGTATCAACTTATGCTTGACGTAAAGTTTATTTGTTTGGATATCGCGGTACGACTGTTCAGTACAGGGGAGCTCAAGTCCAGTCCTCCAGAGCTGCCATCCTGCAACTTTCAGATGCTTCCCTGCGCCAATTAACACACCTGAATCAAATGAATGGCTGGTTAGCAGGTCTGTTCAGAGCTGATCCTGGTCTGTTGGAGTAAAGATGCATCGAAAAGT